CCCCAAAACCCCAAAACCCCAAAACCCCATGCTTGTTTTTAAATGTTGAAATAAAATAATCAAATATCGTTATTTTCTTTTAGAATTTTTCGTATTTTAGGTCAGAATTTTCTTCAATTTAGTGGTCTTTGGTGCCTGCTTCATTTTTGGGTGCAGATTTGACAAGAAAGGTGCCTTGCCTATTGCACAACTGTCCTTGATTTTTACTAGATTTTGTTTCTTTGACTTCTTTTTAGTCCTCCTTGACTTCCTTGGATTATTTTGTGTGGAAAGATAGAAGTCTCTAAGAGTATCACCAATGTTCTTGGTTGTATTGTGAGAGGAGAGAGTTTTAAGCTGCACAGCTCTTTTAACTTGGTCCCTATAAATAGTCTCTCAAGATCCTCTTCTGAAAGCTGTCTGAGGTCTGCTCATGCTGACTCTTTTCTTCTGATCGTAAGCGAAAGGAAGAATTGTGTTTCTCGTCTTGGAAGATATATTTATCCAAGTCAATTCAGTGTTGGTGTCAGTAGCTTTGGTTTTGTCTCTTGCATTAATCATCTTCTTTCTTTCTTTTCTTCTTTTTAGTTTCATCACATATCTATGAATAAGATACAAGAGTACCTTTCAAAGTCATCAGGCGATTTCTTAGCTGTGGGGAATATAGTGCAGCATTTAGTATTTTTAGGTACTTTTCTTTTGAATCTTGCAGTTCTTGGTCTCGGTTTATTTATGAAATACTTGCATATCAAAATTTCTTTTTATTCGAAGATTTTCCTTACTGATGTTAGCAATGGGCGTTACCTTAACATCATATTCCTAAAAGGAAATCTTGAGGTGGGAGGTCTCTATGTATAATTAGGAATTCTTACCTTTATTGATATTGGAGATTCAGTAGTGCTTATATTAATAATTTCTTTATTTCATATCATTCATGTCTTCAAGAGTTTTTATATCCTCGCTAATGAATAATTATTTGATTATTACTTCAGAAGATTTGCTTGAGAAATGCAAGGAGAGGGGAACTTTTCTCCACCTTCATTAACTTTAATTAAACATTGATTAGCCATCTTTGGTGTTTTCTTTGTGATAACAATTGGAGGTGTTATTAATTCATTCTCAATGTTTACCCCTGTTATGGCTTTTTCTTCAACTGATGATCCTAAACACAATTATTTCCACCTCTTCCAAAACATAAATCTACCCCCTTACTAAACCATGTCTATATCTCCTCCCTCCCCTCCATCACTAACTTACAAGTATCTATTCTCTCACCACTCATTACCACAACCCTAAATTCAATAATTTTTTCCCAAATGGGGTTTTGGGGTTTTGGGGTTTTGGGGTTTTGGGG